CTGAGACTTTCCTCACATAGGTCACTTCTGCTATTCAGGTATTCAACGAAATTCTTTATCTCCAGAATTTTTTTGTACCAGGAATCACACTCAGGACCTTGCACTTGCCAGGCAGGTGTGATGCCGCTGAGCTACATCTCCAGCAATCTCCACAATTTCTATTTGTTACCTTTTCATAAGGAATCTATTTTTTGAGTAAATTTATAATTCATATCTTGAATAGTTTTGGTCAGCTCTTCTGATTTTTTTACTTGTTTCTTTTATAACCACATTGGTAAGTTTGTTTGATAGTTCCACTATCTTTTGGGGCATGTCATCCTTGAGCTTGCCGAGTTTCTTTGGTTCCTCTTCAATCATTTCATGCACCTCAGCTCTTTGGTGTTTGATCTCCTCTCCATTGGTGCCCCTTGGATCTGCTTTGGGAGAGTTAGGAGTCTGTGGAAGCATTTTGTTGCCTTGTTTCTTCATGTTCCTTTTTTTTTTTTGTGGTGAGAGTTGAGGTCAAACAAAATGAAAAGAATGTGTTGCTGGTATGGAGCTCTCTTTAATTAGGTTCTATTTTCCAGTGATGAGCTCTTGGCTTTATTTGTCAAGAGGTATTGTATACCACTTCAATCTATTCAACTTAATTACCTGGGTTGAACACAGTCACTGGGACATGGCAATCCTGCTCTACTCTGGACAAAGGATGGACGTCTCCTTTGATCACAGGATAGAACTTCTTGGAAACAAAGAAACTGGGGTGTAGATAAATTAGAGTCTGAGGATAGTGAGCAGTGGTCTCAGTTATGTACTCTACCTTATCAGGCAAGGTACAGAAGCTTAGCAGCAGATTACAACAGCCTCTAAGAGCAGGGTCCTCCCTCCCTGGTCCACTGAGCTCTTAAAAAAAGGCACCAAGGTCCTTGTCTGAGAGCCACTCAGCTTCAGAGCCATTGCCCTCAATGCTAACTGTTACTGCTGTCACTATTTGCGATTTCTTTGCATCTTAGACAGGGGTCTCATGGGTGCACCTCACATCAGACCACCTAGAACTTGTATATGGATGGACTCATTTCTACAGACTGTCTCATTCTTGGGTTCAAATTACTCAATATAGCAGCCTGAATAACTTTTTAACTGCTTGGCTCAACTCTTCAGATTCCTTTGCACTGAGAGTAAAGGCAATGTCTTAAAACGCCCTAGAAGATCCTCTGCAATCAGTTCCCCATTATCTCTCTGACTCTCACCTTCACTTACTGGCCTGTGGCCACACACCCCTCCTTGCTGGTCCTTAAAAATGCTTTGCACTTTTTCCCTCCTTCTCACTGGCTGAATTCTGCCTGCAAGGCTCTTATCCTGGATATCCACTGGCTCTCTCAAACCTTAAAGTTTTTGTATGAGGGGCATCCTCTCAAAGATGCCTATCTATACCAGGCAGCAAAATCCATGCCTGGCTCATGCAGAGTGTTTGATAAGTATTTGTTAAATCATCTGCAAATAAATGAACTTGGTTGGTAAAGTCAAATACTGTCTGCAGCCATTACAGTAATGCTTTACAGGATTTACTTATCATTCATTAATTTGTTCATTCATTCATTCATTCATTTTAGGGTTTTTGAGACAGAGTCTCATTGTCTAAGTCTAGGCTGCCTGGAATCTACTATGTGGCCCAGGCAGGACTCAAAGTAGCAATCCTCCTGCCTCAGCCTCCTGAGTGCTGGGATTATAGGTGTGCACCACCTCAGGTGACTACAGGTTTTAGTTTTTAAAAACAGAACTAAATTGCAAGGAAATGAACCCCAGAGACCTAAAACACATGACAAGAACAGCATACAAGAGGGAGGTAATGAGAGTTAAAAGGCTGAGTTAAAGAGGAATATACTACAGAAGAAGTAAAGATAATAATCTTAAACTAATATGTTAAAACGGAATGTTAAAGTTTCTGGAGAGCCAGACACAAAGGAGTGCATATCATATGAACTCATTTAAAGCCCTCAAACAAGCAGAACTTATCTAAGGCAACAGAGGCCAGCATGGCAGTAACTCAGGGCTGGGTGGGGATGATTAGAAGGGGCTTCTGGAGCTCACATGTCAATCACAGAGCTGGGTTCACTTGATAAAAACTCACTGAGCTGCACACCTGGGAGCTGTGTTTCCCTGGAGGTACAGAGCTCAGACTTCAATGGTGAAACACTTAAAAAACAGTGAACAGGCCAGGGATTTAGCTCTGTGGTTCCACCGCCTGCCTCGCAAATGCAAGGTCCTGAGTTCGATCCCTGGTATCAAAAAAAAAACCAAAACAAAACAGTGAACATCTTCAAATCAAGAAGAGGGAAAATAATGAAAAAGAAAAGGAAATCTCAGACAATCCAAAAAACTGCAATAAAACAGAGAAAAAAACAGAAAAAAAGTGGACAAATAGAAATTATAAAATAAAAAGATTGAAAATTTATGTGAGGTCGGGCATGGTGTTGCATGACTCTAATCCAAGCTACTAGGTGGTTGAAGTGACTCAAGTGAGACTCCATCCCCAAATAAAACTTAAAAAGGGCTGTGAGTGTAGCTCAGTGGTAAAGGATTTGCTTATCATGTGTGAGGCCCTGCGTTTAATCCCCAGTAGTAAAAAAAGAATGTCTAACAAGACTTACAATGAATGAATAAATATAAGTTATAGGATAAACCTTTTTAAATTAGATATTTAAAAATTCAGTTACAACCTGTTTACAAGGGATACAAGTAAAGAAAATATTAAAAGATTAAAAATAAAGCATAAGAAAAGACATACTAGGGTAAATACTAGCCAAAAGAATACAAGTAAGCTATATTAATAATAGCCAAGGGCCGGGGATTTAGCTCAGCGGTGCTGCTGCTGCCTTGCAAGTGCAAGGTCCCAAGTTTGATCCCTGGTACCAAAATAACTAACTAACTAACTAACTAACAGCCAAAATGTACTTTAAGGTTCAAAGCATTATTAGAGATAGAAAGGTACAAATTATACTGAAGGATTTAATTTCAGTGTGCATGTCTAATAATATAACCTCAAACACTGACAGAACTACAGGAGTAATAACTTTCCCAATAAAGAGAATAAACTGACAAAAAGTTAAGAAGCATATCAAAGAGCACCTTTAAAAAGCTTCATCTTCAAGGACCCGAGTTCGATCCCTGGTACCAAAAACAAAAGCTTCATCTAACAAGCATGTATATATAGAGTATTATACTCAACAATTATAAATTATGCATTTTTTTCCAAGAACACAATGACTCTTTATTAATGTTGGTATATTTCAGGCTGCAAGAAAAGACTCAACAACTGGTATCAAATCTAGTACATTCTCCAATCAGAATGCAAATATGTCAGAAATCAACAAACTAGAAAAATACTTATGTTTACTTATTCAAAAACACTTCTGCTGAGCATAGTGGCACACACCTGTAATCCCAGCACTTTGGAGGCTGGGGCAGGAGAATCATCATGAGTTCAAGGCCAGCCTGAACATAGCATGTCTCAAAAAAACTAAAAAAAAATTGGGCAGGAGATTTAGCTCAGTGGCTCCACGCCTGCCTCACAAGCACAAGGTCCTGAGGTCGATCCCCAGTACAAAAACAAAACGAAAAACCTAAAGAAAAATTTAAAATACATAAAAATTAAAAAGCTAAGCCTCAAATAAAGAAGGAAATAAAATATGAAGGAGCAAAAAGGAAAATGTCATTGTAACTTCTGCAGAGTGAACCCATAATAAAAGAATGTGAGCAACAATGTAACCATATATTTGAGAACTTAGGTGAAACAAACAATTTATAACAGTAGTTAAAATGGGTATAGTGATGCACACCTGTAATCCCAGCTACTAAGGAGGCTGAGGCAGGAGGATCCCAAATTCAAGCCAATCCAGGGCAATTTAGAGACCCTTTTCCAAAATAAATAAAAAAGGGCTGAGGACATACAGTACAATGCCCTAGGTTGAATCCCCAGTATTAAAAAAAAAAGAGGTCTGGACCATATTTGTCTGTATGTTTAGAATATTTCATAATATAAATTTTAATACATGTTTACAATTGAGACTACATCATGGTTAAAACAAAAAAATTTTACCATTTTTAGGCAGAAAGCCTTTGTTTTTTAACTTCAAAACTCAGGTGACTGAGCAGAAAAACTGTGGGTTTTTTTAAACCCACCGCAAAGACAGGAAACCCCACCTGGGAGCTGTAGATGCCTCAGAAGCTGACGGCGCTGGCAGTTCAGGAGCAGGTCAGAAGGAAACTGCAGACATGCCCCAGATAGAACAATGAAGCATCACTCATTTCCACACAGCTCCCATTTGCACAGTGCTTCAGTGTCCACAGACTGTTTCTCCTACATACATCAGCCATTTCATTGGACCCACATTTTCCTGCCTTTAGTATAAATAATGGGACCAGAAATATATGTGTCAGGGACTGACCTAGATGGCTTATTTTTTACTTTTTAGAATTTTCTGTGGTGCTAGGAGTTGAACCCAGGGCCTCATATATGCTAGGCCAGCATTCTAACCCTAACCTACATCCTCCCCCAACCATGGTTTATATGTTCTTTTTTTTTCCTTGGTACTAGGGATTAAACCCAGGCTTTTGGACTGAGCTACATCCCATCTTCTTTTTATTTTTTAAATTTTGAGATAGGGTCTTGCTAAGTTGCCCAGGCTGGGTTTGAACTCATAATGCTCCTGCCTCAACCTCCCAGAGTGCTAGGATGATAGGCATGCACCACCATGTCCAGCTTATATGTTCTTTTTCATCCCTACAATACAACCAGGTTCCCTAATCCCTGCTTACTGATCAATAGATCAGTAGAGGAACTTGATCACAGGCTCACTCTTACTCAGGTAGGGCCAAGGCTCCAACCCAAATCTAGCTGATGCCTCCCTTCGTCTGTTTCAACATGAAGGTCGTTGGCAGGAAGTCACCCACAGAGCCACAGTGAGTACAAGCAGGCTCTGTCCAAGCCCAGTCCACCACCACCTGTATGAAGCACCCACCTTCTGTATAACCCTTCGTATGGCAAAGTACTTCTCAGTGAGGTCCCCTGCCTCGCTCAGGGGGGCATCATAGTCGTAGCTGGTGGGCTGTGCTGCATAGGGTGTGTTGGCCCCTAGAAGACAAAAATGTGCCACCAGTTACTACTGACAGCCCTGCTGTAGGACAAGTTCTTTAAGACTGACAGGCTCAGAATTATAGGGAGGAGAAGTAAGGATTCATTAGAATTAATTGTTAAGAGACACTGAGGTGGTCCTCAGGATGCAAATCCAGAGGAACAAGTTTCTTCCCACAGGTGACACTTGCCAAGCACCCTGGAATTCACAAATCTCTCTCTCTCCCCCTCCTCCCTCCCTCCCTCTCCCGCTCTCTGCCAAAGCTCAGAGCAGTGATTCTAACAGATACCACTTCTACTGAACAAGCAGGCAACATGAAGCTTACACAAAAATCTGCTACCATCTCACAACCCGCAATGGCAGTATAACCTATATTGCTGTTAACCTACAATCTCTGATCCCCTCAAACTGTGTGGCTGAGAAAAGGTCTGGTGGAGACACAGGTGACTGACTGGGTGGGGATCAGTAGAAAACTGAAGGCTTATCAGACAAAACAATGCAGGGAAGAGTGCAGGCACCCAGGAACCACAGCTTGGATCCATATTCAGGACAAAAGCACTCACTCACTGCCCCCACTGCCAGGTGTCCTGGCTGCTGACACCTGTCAGACATGCTCCTCTCTGAGCACTGGGCTCTGCTCAGCTGTGCCACACAAGGTTACAACCCTCCAGGGACAGCCTATATCTAACCACTGACCAGTGCACAGACAGAAAAAACAGCTCCCTGTGCTCACAGGGCCAGCCCAGCTCCAGGGCTCGCTCTAGCATGTGCCGAGGCCTGTGTGAAACTGCATCCCAGCCTGACTTGGCTGCCCACTCCTGCCCCCTACCCTGTGCTCCCCTATAGCTGTTGCTCCTGGGAACACACCCAGAGAACTTCCTGCCTGGTCATCTCAGAGTCTGTTTCCCTGGGAACTTGACCTGTAACAAAGACCAATGCATAATGTCAAGATTGTGCATAAAAAGGCCTAGAAAAGCCAATGTCCCATAATTGTTGTCCAAGGAGCAAAGTCTAGACCAGAGGCTCCCAATCACACAATGGATGATGTTCACAGGGATGAAGCTGCCTGCAGCACTGGACACACTCACCTGTGCATAGGAGTCACATGGGAAGCCTACTAAAACCTGACATCTAAGCCCCACTGCAGAGATTGCTTCACCAGATCCAGGTGTGACCTGAGACTGCATTTCCATCAGGCTCCCAGGTGAAGATGCTGCTGGTCCAGCAAGGCTTTGTGCCCTTCTCCCTCGACTTCAGAGGGTCCTTTGCAACACAAGTGTGTGAGTATGGATTTATCTTATGATTAATCTTTTGTCCAACCTAATATGTAAGTAAATGAGGCATGAAATACGACAATTCATCCATAATTAATAATAAATTACTTGGACACAGTTCACAAATGATGGAGGAGCCCGGGAGATCCTACAGTGGAGATGACGAATGAGTGAGGCTGAGGCAGCCCACAACGACTTTCTCATTAGTTCTCTGCATGGAATCCCTGTTTCTAAAGACCAAGACCTAGACCTAGACCTCAACCAACTGAACTGATGAGCGACAACTCAGTCAACAGGCCTGCCTCAGGAGGCACAGGTAACAACGCATCCCTTCCTGTGAGACAAAGAGAACTAAAACCACATCCCTTGCTGCAGGAGCTCACCTTCCTTGGGGCTCCTCTACCTCTAATGTGGCAGTGACTGTGCTGCCGGGCTTATTTCCGTATCTCACTCTGCACTCAACTGCATACATCTTAAGGGAAGACTACGTCTCACTTACCTTCGAGTCTTCAGCAGAGACAAGCACAGAGGAAAAGCTCAGCACAACCTGTCAAATTGAGTTGAGCCAGTATGACTCCAGAAACAGGGAACCAGGCTGAGAAGTGGGTCAGTAGATTAAAGGCTGGACTGAAGACTAAGCCTTTGTCCCAGCTCTTTTAACACAATCTTTTTTTTTTTTTTTTGAGACAGGGTCTCACTCTGTAGTTCAGGCTGGCCTTGAATTCACTATGGAGCCCAGGCTGCCCTCAAACTCATGACGATCCTGCCTCAGCCTCCAAAGTGCTGGGCTCTACCAGCATAATCTTACTGTGGATGTTTCAGCCTAGGATGAGCAGCAGCAGAGAGAAACAGCATATTCTGACCTCCTTTGGGTATGTGAGAGGGCATGCAAAGTAGGAGGGCAAGAGAAACTGGGAAACTTAGCACATCTCAACTTGCCACAGCATGTGGGAGGTATAGGACAGCCTGGGTCCTGCAGCAGCTGTCCCATGGCTGTGGACATGCAGGCAGTGGACCTGGGGACACACTGCACAGGGATGGGCAAGGGGCCGCCCTCCAGATGTTTTCCTCTCACTGCCCTCCTCTGGGTAGCTAGCTTAAAGGACAGACTTTGCCTCCTGTCCTCAAGGAGACCCAGCCAGAGGCAGGCCCAAGAGGCCTGAAGAACACAAAGCAGCTGGAGAGGGCTACTCAGGGCTGCAGGCGGCAAAGGATTATCTCACAGGCTCCCACCAGCTCGAGCTTGAATCTAGTCTCTACCCCTTTGCTAGCTGAACAGGAAGTATGTGAACCTTTTTTTAATACCTAGATACGCTTATCTCTAAAGCGGTGTCAATATCCCCCAACCTAGCTGGGTGTGAAGGCAAGTTTGTAATCCCATCAATCTGGGAGGCTGAAGCAGGAGGATCACAAGTTCAAGCTCAGCCTGGGCAACTTAAAAACCTAACTTAATGAGACCTGCCTCAAAATAAAAAAATGTTAAAAAGGGCCAGGAATGTAGTCAGTGGGAAGGTCATGGGTTCAATCCCTCGTACTGAAAACAACAACAATGAAACTCTAGCCTAGATGAGATTGATATGAGAAGTAAAGAAAATAGAGGCAGAAAAGAGACTTCTATTAAGGGGCAGGAGAGAGGATAAAGGACAGCTTTCACTTTCTGAGTGACAGTTTTTTTGTTTTGTTTTGTTTTTGGTACCAGGAATCGAACAACTCATGAATTTGCACTTGTGAGGCAGGCTCGGCACCACTGAGCTAAATCCCTGGCCCCTGAGTGACAGTTCTTATACCATCTAATGTTCTTTTCTAAGAAGAATATATTCAGGACAATAATTATTTTTTGGTACCGGGGATCGAACTCGGGACCTTTTGCTTTCAAAGCAGGTGGCAGGACCACTGAGCTAAATCCCCGGCCCCAGAACAATAATTTTTTTAAAATGGTGCCATGTAAGTTGCAAAAAATAACAATCTGCATTTCTGGACTAGTCAATGAGTCAATTCAATCACTAGCAACTGGGTGGAATCCCTATCTGCTCATGGAAAAGATGTCAGCAAGACTTACTGGAACCGAAAGACATACAGAGGTGACCTGAAATATCAGTGAGCAACCCTGGCAACCTTTATTTCTTAGCTCTAATGATAGCAGTAAAATTGGTAATGTTTGTAAGCAATGTCTTTTCTCAGCCATTCTATCTTACAAAAACAGGTAGCATCAAGGGCTGGGGATTTAGCTCAGTGGTTCTGGCGCCTGCCTTGCAAGCTGAGGACCTGAGTTCAATCCCCGGTACCAAAAAAACCCCAAAAAACCCCCATGAAAACAGGTAGCATTCAAAAGAGAAGCTGCTGTAAGTTTGTTTTTTGTTTTTGTTGTTGTTTTGTTAGTTTTTTGGTACTAGAGATTAAACCCAGAGCCTTCACACTGAGTCATATCCCCAGCCCTTTTCTTTATTTTTTATTTTGAAATAAGGTCTTGCTAAGTTGCTAAATTGCCCAGGCTGGGATCAAACTTGTGATTTACTACCTCAGCCTCCCAGAGTGCTGGGATTACAGGTACACACCACCACTACTGGCTGCAGTAAGAGTTGATAGCATCCAGTTTCAAATCCTGAAAGATTTAGCCCCAAACTGTGCCCACAACAGTCAACCATTCTCGATGATTCAGAGAGAAAAATACAACATAATTTGTCTAACTGCAATGCAGAAAAATTTGTCATAATTTTTCTTAGCCCCCCCCCCCCAAAAAAAGTACAGGGATACAAATGGTATTGCCACTTTGGGAAACATGAAGGCAGTTCCTCAAACTAAACACAGAGTTATCATATGACCCCAAAATTCCACTTGTAGGTAAACACCCAAAAGAACAGAAGCAAGGAGCCAAACAGATCAATGTTCTTAGCAACATTATTCATAACAACCAAAAAGTAGAAATAACCAAATGTCCATCAACCAACAAATGGATAAACAAAATATTCATATTCAAAATCCATACATGAACATATTATTCAGCAATAAAAAAAGAAGTACTAATATATGCTACCATGTGGATATGCCTTGAAAACATTAGGCAAAATGAAAGCAGATTTTAAAAAACCACACATTGTCTGGTTTTATTTACATAAAATGTGTAGAAAAGGCAAATCCATAGTGATAGGGAGATTAGTTTATTCCCATGGGCTGGAAGGAGGAATAGAGGAGAGTTATTACTAATAGGTGTGCAGTTTCTTTGGGGGAAGATAAAAACATTCTAGAATTAGCATTAATGGCTGCATAACTTTGAGAATATACTTAATATTCATTTAAAATTGTGAATTTTATGGAATGTGAATTATATATCAACAAAATGTTAAAAAATAAAAGACCACAGAAAATATATGCACAAATACACTAGTCATAGACTATGACTGAAGCTTGCCAGCTAGACTTGTTTTAAAACAACAAGGCTTGTAAGTGCTCATGTTATGTTCCTTAAAAAAATTTTAGAGTAAAATGATTATACAGGCAATTCTTATATATCAGAAAAGTTAGAAGATAATAAAAAGAAAACAAAATTGTCTACAGGTACACTCCCCAAAATCAAGAATTGGAAGCAGCGTAAATTTCTACAAACAGATGTTAAGTTGCTCTTACCATTCCAATAGGCAAAGTTGGTCCCACCTATAAACATGTACCTACAAGGAAATGAGAGAACACACAGTACTTAACTGTGAGCCCACAGCAATTGAGGGCACCCTCCCTCCAAACATGGTAGACTTACATGTTCACGTTTGCCCCGCGGGCGAGTATATCAGAGAGAGAGGAAACCACAGCCTCAGTCTTGACTGTACTGTGACGTTTTCCCCAGTGGTCTAACCAGCCAGTATAGAATTCAGAGTTGATCTAAAAAGAAACAAGGCAGCTCTCAGGATAGACCTTCAAATACTGAAACATCCCTGTATCCTCCATCAGCTCCACCGAAGGCCACATGGAAGGAGGAGTTGACATGGACTGCTTTTCCCAGAGCTGGGGACCAGGGAAAATTTCCAATAATGGCACTGCCCAAACCCAGCTCTCCGGTGCAAACCCCACGTGGATCTCATCTCATACAAGGCCAGCCAGCCCTCCGCAGTGGTGAACTCAATCTCCTGCAGGTCAAAATCGTGAGAAAACTGTATTGAACATATACAGACTTATTTTCTTGTCATTATTCTTTAATAAAGTATTACAACTATTTACATAGCATTTACATAGCAACTATTTATATAGTATTTAGATGCAACGGAATTGAAGTTATCCCCTGTATATTATCAGGCCACAGGGAGATGAAATTGGAGATCAATAGCAAAAGAAACTCAAAAAATTTCATAAACACATGGAAATTGAACAACACACTTCTGAATAACCAATGAGTCACAGAGGAAATTAAAGAAGAAATCAGTTCCTCCAATTAAATGACAATGACAATACAACATATCGGAATTTATGGGACACAAT